CCAGCCCTAATGTCTATGAAATCTATGAAATCTATGACCCCATTCACAGCCTTTCTTCAGCTCTCTCCCAAAAGTCCTATCAACCATTGAGTGTCCTTTTGATTTCTAGCTTGCCAAATATGGCAATCTAACTGCCCAACTATAGGCTGGGGCCTGGAAGTAGGACTTTGTCTTGGAATTGCACCCGAAAATGTATAAGGAGACAATTAACGTACACCCACTCTATTGTTTTCCTCACATCATACATAATGAATTACCATTTTCAATTTGTGGAAAATGTCTACTATTAAAATGGTGTCTCACATAGAACAATTATATTGTGTATTTATTTGGACGAGTTCACCTGAACCATAAGATTACAATCTACTCATAGTCTACAGGCACAAATCTGTCAGACTTGCAACAGCCTTAGTGGTGAAACTCCAGATTCACACCAATGTAACTGAGAGGGGACTTTCAGAAATATTCCAGCATTACCCATGAAACTTCTATGATAGCTGACCAATTAGAAGAGCCTTATATTTTCTAAGCAATTTCTCCCTGTGTATTTTTCCCCTTCAAATAAAACAGTGTCAAACAATGTATTTCCTATTAGAAAAAATAGAACCTAGAAACCAGTCTTGTAGTTCCTCTGCAAGGAAAACCTCACCTGAAGTTTGACCCCTATTGACAAAGAGTCAAAACTCTGTCTCAAGCCCCTGGAATACAAATGATTAAGTTTGGAGGGGGGAAAGAAAAGAAAATAAGAAAGTGTGCTTTACTACATTTTTTCCAGCAATTTACTCAGAAAAAGGCTGCAATAAATACATTTACAACCCAATTTTTCTTAGGCCACTTTCTAAAGTTTCCTGTATATCCTCAGGAAAATGAGTACAATAGTAACAGGGAAAAACCTACCTGATGTAGCTTCAAGGACATCCTGATTGCAGGAGCAACAACCTTATGTAGTAGGTCCATGTCTGCAAACACCCATTCATCTTTTGCTGTTATTCGAAAATCTCCTTTGAATAGAGCATGGAGGCCATAAAGAAAGGAATCTAAACTGTAAAATAATGAAATTAGTTACCCCTAAAGCAGTTTTGAACTGAACCAGTAATTTCAAGCAACCTTCCATTTTTGGTAGTAATGGCAACTGATAGAGTATGTCAAAAGGTGAAAACTTTTCCCGCATTTGAGTTGGTGCACCTCAGTACAAATTCCTGTGTTATACAGATGTCAAAGATCATATGGTGCATTTCTGTTTAGAAGCCAAGCTTCTTGTATGAACAACTTTCTCCTGTATTGTGCTCTGCAAAAGGAGTGGCTACAAAATGAGAGTGGCATCTTAAGTGGAAAATAGCCTCAGTAATGCCAGTTAGAGTACCTGCAAAACTGCATACTGCAGATCAGGATCATTTACTGACCTTTGTAGTAAGTCCAGTATAAATAAATTTTAGTAGATTGTGTTTATGTAGAAGCTTAAGTACCTTGAGATTAAGGAACTTGTCAAGGTTATCTGAGAAAAGTTTTGCGCACACTTGCGGTGTTTTCCATCAAAATGGGGAGAACTGTGCTTTTAAAAGGAACTAGGTAGAAGCCTGTTGTTCAGATTGAATTTGGCTTGGAGCTTGACACTCAAAGCTAGATACATGAAGTCCAAATTCAGGCAGATCAAAAGTGAAGAAAAAAGCATTTGCGTAAGCCCCTGCAAAGCAAATTATTGAATTCAGCTATAAGGTTGGACAAAAATGCTTCCCTGAACTATGCAGCACATGTTTATTGTTTACCCAAAGTTTGTATTCTTAATTAAAATTATTTAACAGCCCTAATAATGCTATTTAGAAGAAGCTGGCCATGGTGTTTAAGAAACAGAATTAAACCTTGGGACATCTGGTGCAAACCCATAGTATATTGTTCAATCTACCTGACATGATTTTGTTCACTTTTACAAGGATGGATTTTTTTCACATTCTGTAGGCTCTTAGGAGAAAAAGCATTAAGATGTTAGAGATTCTTATTACCATCCAGGCTTTCTCTAGAGAATGTGTTCTCTCTCTACCTAATTGAGCTTTCTTAATTATTTTGGGAGAAGAAAAAATAAAAATTCTTATTTTAAAAAAAAAAAAAGACCAGAGATTAGGCAGCTGCCCAGCCTATCTTCAGCTGTGATACATTTCTAATTTTGCCTTTAGTGGATAGCGTAATTTGAAAATTATAATAGAGAGAAAGAAATAGAAAGAAACAGCTGGATACTAATTTTCTTTTTAAAGGTACGGTGTAATACAAGCCAGCTAATCAGGAGGCCAGACTATAAGGCATCGACCAGTTTCACCGCTGGGAATGTTATGACTATGCTGATTTTTTAACTTGTTTGCATTTATTAGTGTTTAGTAATAAAGTGCAGGATTTTCACCCTGAGTTAGTAAATTGGCCCAGCTTCTCAAAAGTACTTAAGGTCTTAATTTCCGTGGAAGCATAGCACCTAACTAATATTGAAAATCTGGGCCCAAAACCCTTTTAACTTTCCATCAGTACCACCCAGAAACTGCTAAGATATATATGACAACATCCTGATTAGAGTCTGGGAAGTCTGTGTAATACACCAGTTTAGATAAAAGATAATGATGTAGATCCACTGTAGTAAAATGCACCTATACATAAAACTGGTTAGAACTCAGAACTCACCCATTTGGACAAATATCCATCATGCAGCTGAATTCCCTTTGAGAATTTAAATCCTCTTTGCAAGATGAAAATTAAGAAAAGAACTCCTAACACTGACTCCACAGTACAGGTAAGACCACTGAATCTACAGTAGAAAGGTGCCTAGGAAGAAAGTTGGGCAGCAGGGGATACTAGTTTTTTCATCATTAGAGCTGCAATGTATGCTGCATCATCAATGTCCACAAGGAAGGCAACACAGCCAAAGCAGAACTGCCCTCCTCATCAAGAGTTCTCTGTGAAAACAACGGTTGTCTTTACACTAGACTTTTTTTCTGAAAAAACCTCCCAGTGTGCTAACTATGGCTCAGCTGCACTATTGAAGCAACATTGTAGACAGGGCTATGAGCAGCCATCAATATTTTAAATGCCATTGTCATTTTACACTGCTCAAGGCACATCTATATGGCAATTCTACACGGTGATGAGAGATGGCTTTGTCAATCTATTTGAGAGAACTAGCAAGACCCAATAAAAGTGTCACAGTGAAACTCAAGACCCTCTGCTCCCTCAAGAACATGTCACTTAGCATCTGAGCAGTTCATAGATCAGATCTGATACTTAACCCTACATTTCTGCAAAGAAGTCTATCCACCTGTGTGATGGAGAAAGCTCTCAAAGTCCATAATGATTGGGGGAAGTCTTTTTCTGCCGTCTTCCATGTACATTTATCAGCATCATGTGATATGCTGGATCAGAAAATGTTATTAGCTATGGGCCTACTCTCTTTCTATGAGCATTATATATTGCTCTCTGTAGTTTTTGTGCAAATATCTATGTGAGAAAACACACAACCCATACTTTCAGGTAGTCTTTGATGATTAGTTTGCATCACAATTAAACTATAGTTCATTGCTGGTTAACACTTTTGTTCCTTTTCTTTATGGAACTTCAGTGTTTCATGTTAGGCTAATTAACCACTTCCTCCCCTTCCTCCTCCTCCCCCCCAACAAAAAAAAAAACCCCAACAAAAATCCAAAACAAAAAAAACCCCCAAAACCCTGCAGGCATTACATTTAGACAATCTATGGCACCAATTAGGCATAACCAGTTATCAAATAGTAGCACGCACAATGTTTTACAATTGTGAGGGCAGGGTCTTCTACTGGCTATACACATTATACACATGCAATTCCTCTTCAGGCTCATGGAATTACACAAACACATCAGACCAGGATCCCTGACCTTGTTCTAGTGAGTGAAACAAGCTTATCTTCTACAGTATGTCTTCACTACATTCATGCTGTACTGCTCTCTTTCACTTAATCTCTCATTTAGAGCCTTACGAGAAAGCATATCAAACCAAGAGAAATCATAACGGCTATATGGTCTTAAAGATAGTTTGAATCACCTCCCAGGGCCAGACAAGAGGTGAAACATACTGGACATAGGGATGGTGACAGTGAGCTGACTGGGGCTCCCTGCTTTCTTCTCTGATGAGCCCTTGCCTCCATGAAGCTGCTTTAACTTGCACCATAAAAGCTCTAAAGACATACTGGAGCCTTGTTCTGTCATTCCTGTCTCCTGGCTCCATTATGATGTGCTACCAGGGGGAAGAAGGACACTGCAGTGCTGATGGATAATGGAGTAGGGTTCCATCTGTTAAGATCGATCTTGCTGTTAGTTAAGTTCTCTGTGTAAAATGTAAAAGTTAGAACACGTGGCTGGCCAGTAGGGGTTGCTCCTGCACTGGGCCACCCACCTCACTGCATCTGACCACCTTCCAGGCTCCGAGTACCTACCTAGGGGTACCTCATGTCTGGCTGACTCCCTTCCTGGAGCACACCCACTAGCCTGGGGGTACCCCTGCCAACATCCAAGATTTGGACTGATCTTGGGCTCTGTGCCCCATGTTCTTGAGGGTACTCGACCCACTTCAAGAACTTGGGGTGCTTCCCTCAATCTGAAGCACAAATAGTGATCTCCCTTAGTTAGCTGAACCAAGGGGACCCCAAGCATATTCTAGACCCACTCCCAATAAGTCTCCCACACTAGGTACAAAGGAGAACTTTACTGGTTACAAGGAATAGGTTTGGAACAGGGTACAGGGTACAGAAATATCAGAGAAATCCCATAGAGCAAACTGGCATGTCTGGGTAGCCTTTCATCACGCATCTGAGTTACTGCAAGCTATATATCTAGTTGGATATCAGGTAGCTTAATCATAAGTATCATCCAGAGGCAGGTGGAGATTCCCTCTGGAGGCAGGCAGTTCATCGATCACAAGGTTCAAAAGAGAGAGCAAGTCTCAGACTTTTCATCATGGCTACTGTCCCTTCTCTTAGGCAATCCTTAACTTATACAGATCTTAAAACAGGGCTGGGCAAAATGCATGGGGCCCACCAGGCCATTCTATCTGGCCCACGAGGCCCTTAAAAAATTTAGAAAATTAATATTTATCTGCCCTGGGCTGCCTGTCATGCAGCCCGTGATGGCTTGTCAAAACTCAGTAAGCAGCACTCTGCCCAAAATAACTGCCCGCCCCTATCTTATGACCTCATTTACCTGGTCCAATGAAGGCCAGCACCTGTTGGCTGCCAGCCAACCAATTTGAAATGCATCACTGGTTGCCAGGTAGACTGGCATTGCTCAGAACAATAGGGAGCCCAAGCCCCTCATCTTGGTATATGATACCAGTCATGTAGGCAGAGGTTTTCCTCCTCCCTCAGGAATGTATCCAGTTCAGGGTTACATGAAGAGATGGTATTCTGCCACAGAGCGTATAAGTACCCAAATATTCTAAAATTCAGCCCTGTGTATTGGCAATACTAGGACAGAGGATTTAAGTGGGGGGTTGTTTGCTTTTCACACACACACGCGCACACACACACACAAGCCTGACTCAATGAAAAATGACATTTACATTTGAGGGAACCAATGGTAAAGCAATGTCATTCTTCCAACTACACCGCCTATATATTTGATATGCTGCCTAATGACAATTTAAGATCATACGTGACTTGCATAGCAATGTTCTGCCGTGTTAATGAGTACATTTATTGTGCAGTCTAGTATTAATGTAGAGTTTGTACTGACATTTGCATGAATGGGTACACTGAAAAATTATTTACATATATTATATAAGAAGATTTCAAATCTTGTTTTACACATTAACATTTACTGATTAATAGATTAGAAGGAAATCATGTGTAATGAGTGCAAATTGATAGTTGACATACACAATGTAAACTTCAAATCTGATGAAACTGTGCACATCTCAAGACAACTCTCTGATCATTACCTCTGCATTATTATTTTTTGCTAAGGAGACAGATGCTTAGAGCTCCCCAAGATATGAAAGGGCTCATTCTACTAATGTTAGTCTAACTCATCTTTGCTAAA